TCTGGGCGCGGGCGGAGCTCCTGCGCTGGGTCCTGCAGGCCGGGAATGTTCCAGGGGTTGGCGGAGCCTGGGGCTGTGGCCCGGGGTCCCCTGCTCACTCTGCCAGCCCCGAGCCCTCAGACCTGCCCTCCCACTGTATGTGCTTATTTGTGTTTATCTCTTTGTTTGTTGGTACCAGGGATTGAACCCAGAGGTGCTTTACCCCTAGCCACACCCCAGCCCTTTTGGTATTTTATTTGGGGACAGGGTCTCCCTGAGTTGCTTAGGGGTCCCTCAATTCCTGAGGCTGGCTTTGAACTTGTGATCCTCCTGCCCCGGCCTCCTGAGCCGCTGGGATCATAGGCCTGGGCCACTGCGCCTGGCAACGTCCTGACCTCCAAGCTGCCTGACCTTGGCGCTCCACGTTCTGATCTGTCACACGGGGGTCGTGATGGCACCTGCCTTGGGTTTGGGGGAATAGATGCGATGTCCCTGGGGAGCGTCATCGGCACGCTGCGCTCTGGCTGTGGTGGCAACCGCTAGGACTCGGCCGCGGGGTGGACGTGCTCAGGGCAGTGGCAGCCGCGGTGGTGCCCCAAGAGCGTGGGGGGCTGGGGGACTCTGGGGGCTGGGCGGGCCCAGGGCTGGGCTGGACCTTGGGAATGAGGTTCGGTTCCGGGGCCGGGTGGGGGTCCTTCCCCGCACACGTGGAGGGAGCTGCAGGAGAAGCGGGAGCACCTTGGACCATCCCCAGGAAACGTGGTGACAGCAGCCACGCTGCCCTCTGACACTGTCCCCTTCTCCCCTAGGGCTCCTGCGGGAGGAAGTGTCCCGGCTCCAGGAGGAAGTCCACCTTCTCCGGCAGATGAAGGAGATGCTGGCCAAGGACCTGGAGGAGTCGCAGGGTGGCAAGTCCCCCGAGGTCCTCTCGGCCACCGAGCTCCGGGTCCAGCTGGCCCAGAAGGAGCAGGAACTGGCCAGAGCCAAAGAGGCCCTGCAGGGTGAGTCACGCCCGGGCCGCGACTGCCCGCCCCACTCCGGCCCTTCCTGGGGTGGGATCCCGCGTCTCGCAGGGTTGGCTGTGGCCCTCGTTCCCTCCTGCAGGGTGGCCACCACACGTTGTCCATCGTGGCTGGCCGTGGGCACCTCTCTGTGGGGCACGAATCCCAGGTGGGCATCTCTGGTGGCCCAGCCTGCGGACCCAGCAGCAGGTCTCTCTCCCAGCCCTCGGGGGCTCCAGTGCCCACCCTGACAGGACAGAGTGGCCGGGCTGGTTTCTCTGCTGCAGAAGCATCTGTGTCCCCTGCGTCACTCTGGCTCATGGCGGCAGGCTCTCTAGGAGGGGCTCGGGCCTCTCCTCACACTTCCTGCAGCCCGGGCCCGGGGAGGAGCGGGCAGGTGGCCAGGTGTAGGTGTCCAGGTGGCCTCTTCATCAGATGCCCACGGAACCCCGGCACCATGGGGCAGAGACCTGCTCTACACAGGACGGAGCCAGGGCGCTGTGCACCCGGCCGGGTTCCCTGGAGCTGGTTGGGGACCCAGCGGCACTTGGAGAACTGGGGCCTGAGACCTGGGCGGGGAGCAGCCTTTGGGGTCTGCCTGGTTCTCTTAAGCCCCTGAGGGTCTCTGCTCCTCCCGGGGTGCGCATGGGGCGCCACGCTTGCTTTCCAGGGAACCCGGGGAGTCGGCATCCAGGGGAGCCCACCCCGAGTGTCCAGTGCTCTTGATTGAATTCTTTCCGGTGTCCACGCTCCTCCCAGAGGCAGACGAACCGCCCTCCTGTGCTGGGAGTGTGTGTCTGCGGGGGTCGCGGGGCCGTGGGGTGGCAGTGTCTGTGGCCCCGCCTGGGTGGCATGCTTGGACGCATCTGGCCAGGTACACACGCCTGCTCATGTGCAGCCGCCCAGCAGGCCCGATGCGTCTTGTGGGCCACCGCATGCCTGGCCACCAGAGTCTCCTCGGGCCTTCCCTAGATGGAACCCCGGGCCCCAGGAGTGTCCGGTGCACGTGTCCCTGGGCCCAGGCTGTGCAAGCTGAAGTCCTTGGTCATTCTGAGTGTGACGGTCCTGCAGAGACTCAGGGCTGTGCAGCAAACTACCCCACAGCCACCGTCCCCGGACTGTTCTGGGGACAGCAGAGCCTGCCTTCCTGGTCCTTGGCCAGGGTCAGAATCCCACCGTATTTGCTCACGGGGACCTGGGAGGAGGGGTCCCGGGGAGTCAGCCCAGGCCCCTGTACCCACCACTCCCAGCCTCTCGGCTGTTCCCAGGCCCGAGCGTGGGCAGCAACCGCTTCACGGGGGGAGGGACGGGAGCTAACCGAGGCTCTGCAGAGGGGGATCACGCACCCTCCTCCCTGTCACCCACAGCGAGCAGATTCGCACAGTTGACCCCTTCTGTGCCGGTGCCTGGACCACAGCCATGGCCAGCTGTGTCGTCACCTGCTACCCGTCCGTGCCTACAGTCCTGCACATACACGGACCGGAACACGGTAAAACAGAGCAGCCGTGCAACGCACTGCATCAAAGTTACTTAAAACCTAGGAATTGTCTACTTCTAGAATTTTCTACGTAGTATTCTCAGACCAGGCCACTGTAGCCATGGGATGCAAAGCTGTAGCGGGCAGGGCCTGCGGGGCACGTGTTCCCTCCAGGTCTGGGCTGAAGGTTTCCTGTCCGTCACCAGAGCTGCTGGGCAGCTCCCCTGTAGGAGGAATAGCGTGGGTGACAAGGACTTGTCGGGAGCGCTCTTTATGCCATCGCCGTCCTAAGGGCCTGGTCGGCCACCTCCCCAGTCCTGCTGGGAGCTTTGACCCTCCACCTCTGACATCTGAATGAGGTTCAGGGAGGTTGGGTAACTTGGCCAAGGCCACACAGCTCCTCAGCAGCGGGGACAGAGACGTTTTGCAGGGTCCCAGCCCACTTCATCTTGACTCTGTGTGCGGTCCCCTGAGGCAAAGCTGGTCTGGTGTAGGAGGCAGGCCGTCTGGCTCAGCCGTGGGGATGGCAGGTGAGCGAGAGTGGCACACGGGACACAGAGGCTTCTGCAGCAGAGAAACCGTCCCCACCCGGGCTGGACCCCAGCTGGACCACTCACTCGCCGCGTGATCTCGTGTCGATTCCTCAGCTTCTCTGAGCCAGTCCTTTGCTGGAGGATAATGACTGTGCTTACCCCCGGAGCTAATGATAGTCGCTGCTCCCCAGGTCGTGAGGATTAAATGACATAGAGGGCGCTTGGCCCAGCGCCTGGCACCATTACTAAGGACCATTGTACATGCTTAGTGATGATCAGGGGCAGGGGCTTGGCAGACCTCCCTGGATCTGCTGGGCGCTGTTGGCTGCCTAATTGGCATCAGGGGTGGCCCGGACCTGAGACTCCCTGGTGCCCCTCCCAGCTCAGGATGGCAGTGTTCTGCCAGGCCCGGGAGTGGGCACCTCGGGCCACCTGGAGCCCCCTGCGGGAACTCCCCAGTCGTAAGGAAGAGGCTTCCCCCCCAGCCGCGGCCCGAGGTGCGTAAATTGCAGACAGATGCGGGCAGGAGGAGGGATTTCTGTGCTGGAACAAGGAGAAGGAGAACAGGGGCACAAGCAAAGCCGGCAGCAGATGTTGGGTGACGCCTGCTCACAGCCACTGTCCCTGTGGGAGGAGGCAGAGGCCACTCGGCATCCCACCCCCCACCCCAGCCTCGTGGTGTGGGCGAAACCTGCATTTTAGGGTTAGGGGCTCAAGGCGACCCCGGAACGGCAGTCCACGTCCAGCGTCGAAGCAATGAAGGGAGGGAGTGGGGAGACCCCCTCGGCCTCCCTGGGGGTGAGTCTGGGGTGTCCGGTTTAGGGACTTGGTCCCCCAGTGAGCCCAGAGCAGAAGCCCTGAGTGACCAACAGGAACAGCATGGTCACTGTGCCGCCGACCCCGAGTCCCCGCACGACCCCGTTTTCACACCCGGGAAGCCCGGGGTGTGGTGGTGTCCCCCGGCTCCTCCGTTTCGTGATTTCCGTGTGAATCAAGGCCTCACGGAAATCATGGCGATGGAAATTCGCTCCTTTCCTTCTGTGGTCTCTGAACAGCATGTTGAATGTGAGGAGCGATTTCCCACAACAATAAATACTCTTTGAAAACATAATTTTTAATGACTACATAATGTTCTCCCAAATGGAGGGACCATGATTTATTCCACCGTTTTTCCTGTTATTGGACATTTAAGTCATTTCCACTGTCTCTCTCTGCCGTTATGTAACATGTGACGTCACCCGCCGAGAAAGGTCATGCGCGTGAGCCTTTTCCTTTCTCCCCGTACCCCCCCCCCAGGACAGCATTTCTCAAACTTTCTGACCCAAGGAGCACGGGACATTGTCACGGCATCGAGGATCCCACAGAGCCTTTGTTTCTGTGTCTGAAACTTCTATTTACCATTCTAAAAGTTCAGACGGGAAAAATGTGTGAATATTCAGCCATTTCTCTTAAAACAATAATAAACGCATTATCTGTTGGCATGACTAAGATTATTTTGTAATGAGAAGCAACTGCATTTTCCCAAACATGAGCAGGGGCGTGGTCTTCCGCGTTTTGGCCGAAGCCCTTGGTGTCTGGCTTCCTGGTGGCTGTCCCCAGCCGCGTCCCCCCACCCCAGTCTGTTGCAGTTGTTGTTTTGGTTGAAAACCTGACGTCACACAGATCCGTGGTGGAGCCCAGGAGTAAGTTAGTTGCCTCATTACAGAACTGGACACCCCCGATGCCATACTAAGCTCACTGAGTGAGAGGGTATTGAAGGCTTGTTGCCCTGTGGAATCCCAAACCTTTTTTTTGTTGTTGTTACCGGGGATTGAACTCAGGGGCACTCGACCACTGAGCCACATCCCCAGCCCTATTTTGTATTTGATTTAGAGACTGGGTCTCACTGAGTTGCTTAGGGCCTCACTTTTACTGAGGCTGGCTTTAAACTCACCATCCTCCTGCCTCAGCCTCCCGAGCCACTGGAACTACAGGTGTGTGCCACCGCGCCCGGCCCAAACCGCATGCACTTATGCAGGGCTGCACTGATGTCCAGGGAATCAGTTTTGCTCTTCAAATGGATATTTTATCCCCATGTAATTTCTTTCCCCTCTCTCTCCCTCTCTCTCTCTGCAGTAATGGGAATTAAACCCAGGGTCCTTGCACATACAGACGCTCTACCACTGAGTCACGTCTCTAACCCTTTTTATTTTCTATTTTTAGAAAGTGTCTCACTAAGTTGCCCCGGCTGGCCTCAAACTTGCAATTCTCCTGCCTCAGTCTCCTGATCACAGGCATGGGCCACAGTGCCCAATCTCAAACATTAATGTATGATTTTTTAAAACATCATACACTAATCATGTGGAACATTTGGGCTCTCTGAGTTGTGCAGATCTCCCAGGGTTGATGCATTTCCTTATCCGGTATCAAAAGTGCATGTGTTAACATCACCACCGGCCCCATCAGAAAGTCTCTAAGAATTGAGAAGCTGTTAAAGTCGTGGTGGCAGATCAAGTGTGCCAGAATTCTGGTTTTTTTTTTTTTTTTTTTTTTTTGGCTCAATTGCCTAAGGTTT